ATTATATAAAATTGTTTGAAACTTAATTTTAAAATTAGATTATTTTAAAAACCTTTTAAAAAACTTAAAATCTTTATATATTAAACTATATTTTTTATATAATAATGATATTATTAAAATTAATATTTAATATTTTATAAAGAATTAACACTTTTTTTTTAACTTCGCAGACAAATTTGCCTGCTCTACAGTCTTAAGGGATAAATAATATAATATATATAATTTATTCATTCTTACCAAAATGTTTTAATACATCTTTTTGTCTTTATTTAATTGATTATTTAAAATTAAACTATTATTGAATAAAAATAATTTAACATTTAATTAGTAATATCATATTTAATCAAAATAATCACATCAAAAATAATTAATGCTAAGTTAATAATCAGTCTTTTGTTATAAAAAAAAGAAATTAATGGAGAAAAAAAGGAAGTATGATTATTATTTTGATATAGACTATGTATTTAAATTAAAAAAATTAAAATGAATTTTAATCTTAAATAATGTATTATATATTAATTTATATTTTTTCCTCAATTTATTGAAACAGGCCTAAATAATTCTTCCAAAATATAACTAAATTAAATGATACTATTTTTTCTCTAACTAAAACTTTAAAAGCTTTCTTATAGTAAATTTGTTATTTTAGAAACTTTAAAATGAAAATATAGTAATCCTATCTAGAATTTGAAATGTTTTAAAAAATAAGTTAATTCTTAAAATTAACTTGAAATAATCTGTGTATGTTTACTTGGTTTTAACTTTAATATATATGATAAAATTTGATTTTAAGAAGCCCTTTATTTATCCAGAAAATATTCAATACTTTTTATTGATAAAGAAACTCTGATTTTATTAATGTGGTTTAAAAAGTTATTTGATAGTTTAATCACCAACAATGCTTAGTAACAAAATTAGAGCGAGTATTAATTACTATTAAAAAATTATCAAACTACAATTATACTTGCCAAATTAACCAGAAAAACTTCTAATTCTGCATACATTCTTTAATTAATACCTTCATTATATTCATAAATCTATTTGGTAATTGTAATGTATTCAATTTAAAATTGGAAGTGATGTATGTACTGATGAATTGTATAATACAGGGAGAATAGTTCAATGTTCCAGTTAAACGTGAATAAATTTAATTTACGACTAACCTAAATGCTTTTAATGCTTAATATTCTTCCTCTAAATCTGCCAAAGTCAATTCATTATCAATAATTAATTGATTCAAAGAATATTCCAGTTGTGCTAACCTTTTCACTTAACGGTCGAACCATACTAGCATGAGGTAACCAAAAACTAAGTAACCTTTTCCTCAAATCCTATTAATACAATCAATCAATAAATAAAAAAAATTATATATACATTAGTATTTTAAAGAATTTTTAAACATTCTTTATTTTCTACAAAATAAACAAAATAATACAAATATGGTATTATATTGACCTTAAAAATCTTCGCGATAAATTTTGAGTAAAGTGTTTTCAAGTTCATTCTTAATATTTGTATTAACGGATCAATAACGATAATATTAAGCTTGTATGCTAATAAAAAGAAAATTATTTTTTAAATTAATATATTCTATTTTCTTTTTTTGTTCATAAAGATTAATTTTTACCTAACAGCATCAAATATGATCTCAGCAACTTCATTGGTATTCTTCTAATACCTTCCAAACGAATTGATTTAATTGATATAAAGTTGTAATAAGTTCAAGATTTATATTTTATGAATCGGTTGTTGGACCAGTTCCAATGATGTTTATCAACTTCGGCCTAATATAAATATCTCTGAGTTTCTACAAAGGCATGATATTATAGATTCGTACTTGACGCAATAAAAATTCAAAGCTTTGACAACATTCTTTGCTACAGACATAGCAAATTTAAATTAATTTTGCCAACTTCCAACTCACTAAAAACTTAATTAATTATAACTAGAAAAAATTATACCTTTGTATTGGTGGATAAAAGAATGGATGAAGCTTACCTAGAAATTACTCGCATAAAATTTGTAACATCACTTTTAGTCAGAGGAGCTCGGGATGATCCAGTTAAATATTCTCATTACGGAACGTGCTAAAATCTCATATAATATATATTTCTATAAGTGAATTGATTAGTTATAGATTGGAAAAAAAATTTATTTTTTTACCATCAATACTATTTAATCAATTGACAAGTATTTTCCAAAAAGAGAGATCTTTGTGTTAAGTGATCTTTTGATATGAGAATCTATTGAATAGCCAAAACGTCTGCATTAATATTAATAGGAATTTTGGTTTATTAATTCAAAAGAATAAAGATAACTGTCAGAATAGAATGCCTTGTTCTCATCCAATAACAGTCATGACATTGAGGTAATGAAGCGGGCTTTTTAATAATTTCCTCTTCGACTTACTTTCTAGTATAAAAGCAAAGAATTTACCAAGAAGTTCGTCAAAATTTTGTTCTTTTTAATTTTTTATTTAATTCCTTAAGTAATAGGAGAAGTAGCGATTTTTAGAGTAAATACATACCAATTTTCACTTTTTAAATTTTGAAAAAATTCCAAGTTTATTATTATCATACATATATTGTTCTTCGGTTTTCTACACGTATTAATACCCATAATGTTTCTCCATGTGTTTCACAAAGCTTATCTCCAAAAATCTGGGGGATATTTCTGGTTAATAACATCAAAATCTGCGCTTTCTTATAGAATTTTGGTTTTGTGTTCGTTTAGATTCCTTTAAGTGTCCTCCTTTGAAATTCGCTTGAACATCTCTATTGGCTGTCTTGAATTTGTAATGATATGAAAATTATCAAATACATAGTTCTTTAAAGCTTCTCTTGCATCTTTCTCATTTGAAATATCATATGATTTATCATAACTTTTAAAAGTTGGACGTAAATATCATTTAAAATGTCGTCAAATTGATATGAGTTAACTTCTTCAAGAAATGAGTTCCAAAGCTAGAATTTGAGCAGTGACTTAATAGTTGTAGTTCTTTTATCTAAGTCAGGATAATATATTGATGGAGGTATTGCTGATAAAAACTCCAGCTCGGTAAGTCTTTGTTTCTTCCCTTTATTCTTAGGTTCTAATGATTATTGATCAAAATAAATGTGAAACTAGCAGTGTATTTAATACAACATATTATTAACGAATATAAATCATTACTTACCGGTTGCAGGTTGATTTTCTTTTTCACATTCTTTAATTACTCCCGTCCAGAACGTTTGCAAAAATTTCTTATGTTGTGAACGTTCTGTATTTACCTGATATGAGAAAGTTATTATTAGTATAATGGGAAAATTTTTAATTTAATGGTTACCATAGCCTGTTCCTCAAGAAGCAGCAGACTTTACCAACAACAAAGTTAGAGCATCTGAATTGAAAGATTGGAATGGATACCAAGCGTACAAACCCAATAATTCTCCCCTGAGGCAGAACGCATCCTTCTAGAGCCACCTTAACTTTGCAAAATAAAAACAAAACAACGCACCTTTTCTTTTAAATCATCAAAATTAATTTTATTCGATTCAAGATTCTCCGCTTCTTTCAAAAACTTTAAAGACCAAAAATTATCAAGGTAAGACCAGTCTTTTGAAATCGATGATAAGGTAATGACTTCGTCACAACAAAAAATCAAAAAACCACGATAATATGATTTTATTGCTTCGTTTCCTTAGATAAGAAGTAAAGACTAGAAATCAAAGATTAGTTAGAAGCTAAATAAGGAAGATGGCAAGTTAAATACTTTTTGCAAGTCTTACCAGAATGGCTAGAGTTAAGATGCTCATTATATTCTTTAGATATTGAGTTAGATAAGTTAAAATAATTTGGGAGAAAAAATTCAAAGGTATTGTTCTCAAAAATTAAAAATTTGCAGAAGAATATTACACGTAGAGATGTTAACGGTCTAACGTTGGACGGTTTGGACCGGTCCTGATCATAGGACCAGTTTCGGTCCAGTTTGAGGGGTAGACTGGACTGAGATCAGATCGACAGACTGCGATCTTAAAGACCGGTTCAATTAG